GGGGGCGGCCAGGGATGCCGAAGGATAACCATAGCCGACCACGCTCGGCGAAGGGCCTGGGAACGACACGCTCGGAAATCCAACATGGCGGGCATCTGAAGTCGGGAATGTAGAAGGAGCCGATAAATATCATAAATTCGAACACAAACGAGACAGGAACGCTGGAACGGCGAAGTCGACGGTAAACTAATTCCACGACGACAAAGTATTTGGCAATGATCTTGTAGACGAAACTGCTGCGCCATAAGATGGAAAAACTGGAGCTAAAGTACTGTTATTTTCAGCGATCGAGTAAACGATACTATCTGACGAACTCTGCACCGATTGTGATACTTCTGGCAAAGGCGATGAGGAAACAAACGCCATTGAGTCAACGTTTGAAATAGTAGATCCAGATTCAAGAGGAATTGAACGAGGCATAAGTGATGCTCGAAGTGTTTTGAACGACTAAGGGGCGACGTCCATATTCAAGTTGCCACGCAAAACGTCAAATTGACGTTTTGAGTGGGTGGGTGGGTTAGAACTGTAGTGGTGTGACGTTTTTACCGTGGCAATATGAATATTTTCCAAAACTACAACGCTATATGTAGAATTTATATTAAAAATAACCGTCAATATTTATTAAAATAGTATCAATACGCGATGGAAAAGTTAATATACTTACACTATTCAGTATCAATATTGCATATTAAAAAGAACTTAGTTGGTGGAGTTTTTGCCTTTCTTGTTTCTTACATATTTATATATGTTTATAATATTAACCCTGTGGATATATTAAAAGGTAATTTTGTTTCACAAACGATTCAATTTATGAGCACAATACAGTAGTTATAAACTTTGATACTTGGAGCGTTCAAACCCCATCTAATTTTGAAATATTCATTATGTCACACTTGACGTTTTCAAGAGTGGGTGGGTGGGTTGTCATAAAAACGTCAATTTGACGTTTTGCGTGGCAACTTGAATATGGACGTCGCCCCTAAATGTCACGACTGAGAATGAGGCAATGAGCTACTGGCGTAAACAACTTATATAAGGTAGGTTATGCAAATGCCCTCATTAGCATTTGCCAAGCTGTCCCTGGGGCCCTCTATTCTGATAACAAGTACAACAACTCAGCTCGTTCTCAATATAATTTATTTCATAAATCCAATTTAATGCAACATTTAGTATTGCTCATGAGTTATGGATCCTTTCAATGCAAGGCTACATAACAGCGGTAGCCCACCCATGTGCGAATTTTGTATTATTTTAGCATACTACGTCCAGTGCTAATAAGTACTGTATTATTAACTGTGAAGTATATCGATTTTAAAATCAGTACATCCCTACTATTTATAAAACATTCAAAAAGCGTGCAATATACTTCATTCGACTAACCTTAAATCCTAGTCTATTACTTCAAGTGCCGTTATGTAGAACAACTACGTTTAAAAACTCTTACTTTAATCGAACAGTTCATTTATGGAATGTAGTGTGCAGAACTGCATCACCTAATAGCTTCGTGACATTATTTACTTTTAAGAACTTTCTTCGTCGGACTTATTCGTTTTTACGTAATTCAGTTTTTGACGTAGACAAGCCATGTACCTGGTCTCTTGTTCGAGACTGTCCATGTCACAGAAACTAAAATAATGTATAGTTCTTTGATTGAAGTAAAGTTCGTTTCGTGTACATGCCTAAGTCACATGTTTTCAAAACCAAGTTAGTTTTATTTTCCGTACAAATTTTCCAAAATCTTCATGCATTTTACGTATTTGGAGATCCTGTGGGTATGCGCAAATCGAGCTTTACCTCAACTATAATTTATATAGTGTAATGTAATTTTTTGTGTAAAGTTTGTAAGGGAGGTGCCTCGCATGGGCTTTTTCTGACCCGTTTGCACCTTTCCTTTTGGGAAACACCTATTTATCGTTATTGTTAATATTCCCAATAAAGTTATAAAGGTATTCAGTGACATTCGCAATTTATACACTCAGATATCATGCACTAGACATATTTGAAACGTAATGGCGAGCCAATGTAATTATTGGCTCATGTTTCTGGCCACATGTTGCGTAAACTCGTTTACGCTGCTTTTCTACAACAACAAATTTAGGCCTACTGGAATGTGAGTTGTTTGCGTCACTGAAATCGGTAATCAGCAAGTCCAACCTTGTGGGAAAGCAATTTCATCTCAAGTATATGCAGGGTTTGAATTAAATATTTAAAAGTGAATAGCGAATATCTACCCTTTGACTCAAGCAATAAAAAGGGAATAGCGAATTTCTTCTATGCATTTACAGTAAAAAAGGATTGAACATTCGATCTTCAACCAGAAAGGCTGTTATAATAATAAAGATTAAGCAGTCTTTATTTTTTGGTAGTTGCAAGATTATAAACGACACAGAATAATGAGAAAATGACGATGTAAAATCAAATAATTCCAATTTCCAATTATCACCCGTAAAAATTTGCGCAATATCCAAAAGAGTTAATTAAAATTAAGGCATTTATTCAAAGTTAGAGCAAATTAAAGTACAAACAAAATAATGTACATAAAGTAAACGTGACAAAGCTCAGAAAGCAAAACATGAAACTGGCATACATTGCATACTACAGTCTACACATTATGAATTAAACTAGAAAGTTTAATATTGAACAGTTTGATTTGGGTTTTAAACCCAAGTGATTGTGGAATTCCAATCTGATAATAGTTCCCTGAACAAGTAACATGACATTTGACCTTTCCTAAGTGGATTTTGACACATTTTTATAATGTCAGCCTATCATATTAAAACATCAAATCAAAACACAGCTTGAGGCCATTAGGAAACGCAACAGAATTTAGGGTTAGGGTTAGGGAATTTAGGGAATAGCTCTACAACCCGGTAACAGCAGATGCTCTCGAGGAAAACCCACTGTTGTACGTACTGTTTTGATCTATACACGTCCACTACACTGAAATCGCAATTTAGAGTAGCTAGCAAGTAATCCGTTTTAATTTTTAAATATACGTTAAAAATCAACTGTTTGCTGAAATTTAATCAATTGCCAAGATGCCCTAAACTTCATGTAACATTATTATTGGATATCCCTATTTTGAAAGCTACCCTAGCCTGCGTTTCAGTAGCCTGTGAACATGCGTTTATTCAGGGGGGTGGGCATCGTAATAATAAACGCCTGCCCGCATGCCTTATAATTTTGAAAAACGCCCTTTGAGTCACGCCTACAAAAGGCCTACCATCAAAAACTCAAAATCACAATTGTGCTCAAAATATCAACGACTTTCTGTGTAATGCGTCCAGTCGCTGTCAAAATATAAAATATTGCCTTCTCCAGACTAATCAATTTGGCTTCACATATATTTCATGCAAACACTGTCATATTATTATAAGTAATAGCATGGCATTTAGGGCGATTAGTGATTAAATGTACCCGAAAGCTGAGAGAGGTTTAGTAACTAAACCTCTCGAGGCTTGAGGTTGAGGGACATTTCATCACTAATCGACCGTAATGCCATGCTATTACGTTGTAATACCATAGTTGCCGAGGGAATCCACGCGTGGTGTGTTGCCTGTTTTGAATACTGTTTGATGGTCTTATGATTGTTGTACGAACACTTTTCATATATAGGCACGCGCAGAAGCACATCTCCATGTTCATTCGTTTTAGGCATGCGCATAAACGGAATTTTCTCCCACAATTGTAATGTTCAAGATTAGGGGATAAAAGCTGGCAAAGTGATCGTTCGAATGTGTACGGGACGGTGTCGTCAGATACTGTCCATAGTTGTGCCGATGATTTTCGATGAGGTACAGCTCTCCAATTAGAGATATAATGAGGTGGTACGCTTTTGTCTTCTAAATTTCCCTCATCAAGCATGCAGGGGAGAATTAGAACTAATTTTACCACGGGTACTCCCATGTTTTAGTAATGAGGTAAATTAGGGATTAATCGTACCTCGCGAGACAAAGGATTTCGAGGCAACTATGGTATTATTAAATATAAAGCAAAACGTTTAGTACGTTTATCGTTGCATAAACAGAAACGTATTCGATATGCGTTTCATAATATTAACGACAACAAAGCCTTGGATGTTCATGCTTTCACAATGTTAACTCAACCGTCTATGGCTACGTTTACACGCTGCGATTAATCGTGTACGATTCGTTTTCTGGCGTATGTCATTGAGTAAACATGCGTAAGCTGGCTACATTTGAAATATCTTTTTAACGAAACGGCAATGAATTATGGCGCCAGTACTCATTTTAATACGCCAGAATACGAATCGTACACGATTAATCGTAGTGTGTAAACGTAGCTTAGGGACCGGTCATTATTTACGTTGGGGTGGCACCGAAGAGAAATGTTTTTCGTGGAAAAAATTTTGCTGACCCAACCATTAAAAAGTAAAAAATTTGATTACCCAACCTGAAATATCAATTAAGAAATAAATACCCACCCCTGGCCAAAAAACTTTACAAAAGGATACCATTCAGTTGTCGCACATGTCCTTTACCACTTTCTGTAATAACGGCTTGCGAAATTGTCCGCAATCTAAAGTTCCATAATGTTTGCACATGTAGTTTCTTTGGAGACACCATTTGTCTCCTGACAAATCGGAAAATGGTCAAGATAGTGACTCTGATTGATTCACATATTGGATTTACATATGACTGTTGACATATGCTTGTATATCAGCTCACTTTAAATGACGGTATATAAAACAATATATTTACATTCTATTTAAAGGGGCAGTGTCACGGTTCTACTGCGCATCCAAAATATGCGAGAACTTGAAAAACTGTCTACCAACAATTACTCAAGTTATGAGTGAAATTCTATTTATAATCCCTTCGTTATTTAGGACATCCTTGCTTTGTTTTAAAAATTGAAGGCTGCTGTCAATCAGCCACGTGACACTGCCCCTTTAATACATAATGGTATATAAATTAATTAAATTGCATACAGTACAACAAGAATACTAAATATATGCATATATAAAAGTTATTTTAACACTATAATCGGAAATCCACGACGACCTTCATCGAGGTTCAATAAAATAAACACTTTGATAGGACACTTCAGGCGAACTAGCAGCTTAATTTAACTGAACCTGACCATCTCATATGTAGTACATCCAAAATATTTCTCCCATTACACTGGCCCAAAACATTAATGTTTTTCTTGTTCGCATTTACTCGACTATATTCATCTATAAATCAGCATCAAGTCGTCGACAAAGTTTTGCAAATTTTTGCTGACCTTAGTAAGGGGCGGACCATTTGATTTTTGAGTGGAGGGGGAGGTTGGAATTAGATTTCGAAAAAAAATTTCCTGCAATCCAAGGAGAAAGAAGAAAAAAAATCATGCAGCATACAATCGAGAAAAAAAATATCATGCAAAAGAGAGCGCTCAAAAAAAATTTCTACATGTAAATCTACCGACGTTCTTCACTTCAGTATTGTGTCCACAGGCTTACAAGATATTGCATTTCTGAGCAGGCACATTTGCTTAAAAGAACAAAGGGTGACCAGGCAAGCTGAAAAATCAACTTGACCACAGTAAGAATGCAGCCCACTGACTTTGCTCCATCAATTAATTGCTTGATATAGATGTGAACAAATATCTTGCTGTTTAATAATAAGTAATCTCAGTTACAAATTATAAACCAGTTCTAGTGAAAATGGATTCAACTCGCGTAGTTTACTGAGTTCAGTCCAAAACTTTTTTTGTTAATTAAGAAAAGAAGCCCAAAGATATTTCCTTTCACTGATCAGGTATATAATTGTGTTTAGCAGTACGTATTATAATGATGTTCACAATATAAATATGCGCCTGAAATTTAAAAAATTCAACCTACTGCCTTCTAAAAACAAGACATGACGCATTTTTCTTCAAGCTAAGTCAAGGAATAGTTGCAATAATTTCAAGCTACATTCAGAAAAATATTAACATAATGCATGTATATGCCCAAAATAGCACATACAGTAGGCAGTAGCAATGCGTTTAAAATGACAATTTTAGCATTATTAGGAACCGTTCATTATTTATACCCGGGGTTGGTACCGAAGAGATATGGGTTGCATGGGTAATCAAGTTTTTGACTAGCTCATTGGTTGGGTAAAAAAATTATGACTGTTTGTCAGCTACAAAATAAAACCAAAATTACCATGCATTGGAAAATATGTAGAAAAATGTGTACAATACAGTCTGTACCAAAACAGACAATCAGTGATTGAGGAAGGAGTCTATCATTGATCAGCAGGAACGCACACTCTGAGTGTGAGTCAGCTTTTAGAATTTAGGAAACTTGATTTCTTTCACCATAATCTTGTGTGTTTAATTATTATGAAGTACAGTAACACATCGGTTGGGTAAACATTATTTTGACCAATGTTGAGGTTGGGTGAATAAAAAATTTACAGTGTTTTTTGCTTCTCTTCGGTACAAACCTCGGACCACCTCGGGTATAAATAAGGAACAGTCCCTTAAACAAGCTTTTATTATAATAAAATGAATAATCTACCTTTCTTTAGTACGTCCTGAAAATTTCAATAAAATCCACCATAAAATAACGACGATATACTTATTTAAAGTTATGAAATACAAGTCTCGCCATATTAGTTTATAATGTTTTTTTTGGACCAGAGTTGGTTGCTTTCAACATGGCGGCCAAGGCGCCGGAAGTAACATGTGCCGGAAATCTTCAAAGGTTCCGACTCGAGTGAAGCTTCTGCCCTATTTCTCTTCTGTGACACAGTGTGTAAAATCGTGGGAGTTGAATTTGAATTTTCTTTGCGTTACTGAACTTGTTTCTCAACAAGGCTAGCACATTGCGAATGCATCTGGAACATGAGTACAGGCAATGTGGCCAAACGCGACCCTCTAAAATTGTCGTTTCCCATATTGTTAAATCTCTCCAAACCTACAATGCTTGAGTTTGTTTTGACAAGTGAATTTTACTAAATCTTATTACTTTGATTTTCTTAGAAAAGCCAGCTTAGCCTTCGTTTATCTTGTTAATCCCCGAGCCGACGGCGCGAAGCGCCGTGCGAGGGTACTAATTCCCCCCGGCTATTTACACCCTGGGAATGGGAATGACAAGACAGACGGCTCCAGGTTCGCAGCTCCAGGTTCGCGAACCTGGAGCCAGCTCCAGGTTCGATTTCAACCTGGAGCTGGAACGAATAGTTTGTAAATAAACTGCTTTGGCTGCTTAACCGCTAAGGGAAATCCATTTTTTTTGAAAGACCATTTTTACTTGTTATATTCCTTAGTACGTGAGGGAAAATGAAGACATTATTCCGTTCCATTCGTCCACAGTAGCTTGTGAAAGATCACTGTTTTTTCTGACAAAGGGGCTGGTCAGCGGTGGGATAGATCGCCAAGCTCGTTTAAAACCTTATTTTTTTACCTTTACAACGAAAAACTTAAAATTTTGATTGATGACCATTCTAGAGAATGTATTCAAAAGTAATTACAAGCGGTTAACTTATTTCCACATCGCGAAACCGCGATAAATAACTCGCGCAAAGTTGAACCGTCTAATTTGACGCACCGCCCGGTTGTGTTAATTCTATCCTTCCGTGAACACAACAACTTTGGTATGCGTAAATTTACGCTCTAGAGGAGTAAGATACTGATATGTTAATGACATAATATTATTTTTTGCGCTTTTCTGAAGAATTAACGATATAAACATATTTAATTTCCGAAACACACAACGCAAACAAGATCGCTAAAGATGGTGTTATTATGCGGCTCAAGTCGCCGAAAGGCCATAACATGTCAAATACGTCTAGCATCGTCTAAATTGCTTCGCAAATTTCTTGCTAATTTCGCCCTGCAACGATTTTTTAAAAGATGACCCTTCTAGACTAATATTCATACTATCATATTTTACAGCATATGAGGCTTTAGGATATATATCCACCATGAGCAACTCATGAGAACGTTACCGACATAAGAAATAAACTTTCAAGAGATGTGAAATATTAGGCGTAAACAATAATGCAAGTCCTCTGGCACGTGCCGGACATTTGATAATCTCAGGGGAAAACCGTAACTATAATGTCGACATGCAAATGCATGTGATCTAATGAGGCCAGGGGAAAGGAGTTTAATAGTGCACAGGAATAGAAACTAGGCAATTTTCTTGGTAATTGCGTTGTATTTTCTCTATACATGAGCAAAAAACGTCGCTTTTTCACAAAGATAAAATACTTTTATAAGCATGCGTAGGTTGCGCTGATTATGTTAATAAGGAAGGCTTAAAACACACCCCTCCTTCTTGAGAATGTGGGCGCACGTCATGTTACGTAAAATAATTATTGTTAGATAAGTATGAACATCGCCCGAACATATACAATAAATTAACGTGTAATAATGAAATGTATTATTTTCAACTGCAACTTTGTTGTTAGTATGTTCGTCCAAACGATATTGAGTTTCGCTCGATATTGAGTTGTCATTTATAAAATATTAAAATATACCTTATTCAGCTCGACGTTAGTGTTTCACCAGTGTTTCGGGCATATACCTGGTTATAAATCCTGTCCGTGTGCAAAAAGCTCGTCAAAGTATTGCGTCTGTGAGTTTTGTTATAGTTAATACGGTTTTTCCCTGAGATTATCAAATGTCCGGCACGTGCCAGAGGACTTGCATTGTTGTTTACGTCTAATATTTCACATCTCTTGAAAGTTGATTTCTTATGTCGGTAACGATGCTAGTGTTCTCATGAGTTGCTCATGGTGAATATATATCCTAAAGCCTCAAATGCTATAAAATATGATAGTATGAATATTAGTCTAGAAGGGTCATCTTTTAAAAAAATCGTTGCAGGGCGAAATTAGCAAGAAATTTGCGAAGCAATTTAGACGATGCTAGACGTATTTGACATGTTATGGCCTTACGGCGACTTGAGCCGCATAATAACACCATCTTTAGCGATCTTGTTTGCGTTGTGTGTTTCGGAAATTAAATATGTTTATATCGTTAGTTCTTCAGGAAAGCGCAACAAATGATATTATGTCATTAACATATCAATATCTTACTCCTCTAGAGCGTAAATTTACGCATACCAAAGTTGTTGTGTTCACGGAAGGATAGAATTAACACAACCGGGCGGTGCGTCAAATTAGACGGTTCAACTTTGCGCGAGTTATTTATCGCGGTTTCGCGATGTGGAAATAAGTTAACCGCTTGTAATTACTTTTGAATACATTCTCTAGAATGGTCATCAACCAAAATTTTAAGTTTTTCGTTATAAAGGTAAAAAAATAAGGTTTTAAACGAGCTTTGCGATCTAACCCACCGCTGACCAGCCCCTTCGTCAGAAAAAACAGTGATCTTTCACAAGCTACCATGGACGAACGGAACGGAATAATGTTTTCATTTTCCCTCACGTACTCAGGAATATGACAAGTAAAAATGGTCTTTCAAAAAAAATGGAAATCCCTTGGTGGTTAAGCGGTCAAAGCAGTTTATTTACAAACTAGTCGTTCCAGCTCCAGGTTGAAATCGAACCTGGAGCTGCGAACCTGGAGCCGTCTGTCTCGGAGCGCTATGGTGCAATCTCGTTCCCTGAGCCTGCGGTCCTTGAGTTGGGAAGGAAACGAAGGCTCTGGGATAATCCGTTTAGGGAGGAATCTGATTGGCCGTTGATATGGAATGTGCAGTTCAATCTTAGCCAGAATCCCTGGCTTTCGGCAACGGATTATCCCAGAGCCTTCGTTTCCTTCCCGAGGATCGCAGGTTCGGGGGGAACGAGATTGGCTATGGTGTAATAGACAAGGGAATGGGGAGCAAGAGAGTTCGTATAGAACAGTTTCAGCGGTAGATTTATCCAAGGAAAATCAATAATTTGGCAACAAAAAGCAGAAGGCAGAAATCACCACTTTATCATTGGCAACTTTTCAACCCTATACCATGCAATTAGTGCAACCTTGAGTGTCCCTATATGTCGTGTGGAGTTTATCTATTGGTCGAGTGTCGAGGGTTAAATGTCGAGGGCGAGGGTAAAACGTCGAGGGTGAGGGCAAAACGTCGAGGGCGAGGTAATATGCGTTCCACGCACATATTATAGGCGGCTACGTGCATTTTAAATGTACTAACAGGGCAATTTAAACTTCACGGCAAACGGCCTTTTTGGCCGCCGACTGGAAATTTTCTTCTTCGTTCGCTTCATCTTCTCATTCGGTTATCTCAAAAGAATCATCATACATTACAGTTTAAAAATAGCTAGTTCATTTCCCATTTATTACCTTGACCCTTGTAGCATAAATTTTATATTTCGGGCTATAGCTACCACAAACGGCTTTTTGCAATTTTGCGCACCCAGCGCTGCGCGAATTCTAGTAGCTACTGCATGAATTTTAATACATGTGTTATGCTACATTAGGGACCATTCATTATTTATGACCGGGGGTGGGCTGGCAAAAAAAGGGGGTGGGTCATGAGGTATTTTTGACCGAAAAAGGGGCACCTAAAATATATTGGTTCAGA